AATATTTATAAATTATAGCTCCAGGCACTGTGATAAATAATTATGAAAATAACCCTAAAATGTAGGTATTATTACTATCTCCCTGAGGCACCTGAAGGACAAAGAGGTTAAGAAATATTTTCAACCAACCAACTGGAATGGTAGAACTGGGATTCAAGCCTAGATCTTTCTCACTTCCACAACAACACATAACATTTGTGCACATCACCTCATCTATGCTATTGAAAGAAATAAGAGCATTATTTGAACTCTTTAGGAAACACCACTGGGATTTTCTATTTTGGAAATTCTTTAAATTTAACTCTTTCAATAAAGTGACCTTAAATCATAATCAGTTAACTGAAATATTTGTGTGCTACATACTTCAATTCAGGTTGGAAAAAAATACTTTTTGAATTTTCTTCTTGACTCTCACCTTTACTGTGTAAACAACCTCCCTTCCTTCTTCCCATTCTTCTGTACCTTTCTTTCCAAACCCATTGCTGGATTACCATTAAGCTCCTAAATCACATGGCCTCTCCTAGGTCTCTACTAAAGCTGTATTATTTAGTGAGCCATGTAAACATCTACTGTAATAGATACTGAAAATTTTTCAGGGAAAAAAGAGAGATTGATAAATGATTTCATTCTGTCTTCTTTTGTTTAGTTGAATGCTAATTAAAGAATGTCGTTAGTGTGATTGACTTTGCTCAAACCATTACACTTAGAAAGAGCTCTTTGAGATCCTGCTTAAGTTCACACATGCTTAAACTAAAGTAGTACACAATGTTTTGGTCACTCTGAACGTTTACAACAATATTTCCAATGTATAAGGTGAAAAGAGACAATAGACCACATTTCAACATGCCAGATAAGGCATTAAAACAGCTAGGCATTTGCAGCTTGTGGGAAAAGTATTAATTACATTATCTGTTCATGAAAGAGCATTGCTCACAAAGAACTTCAGAAGAATCAGAGTTTAACTCGCTAACCATGCATGTAAACTTGATTCTTTAAGCTAATAAACTCAGGACATTTGTTCGTAGCCGACTGAGGGAAAAAAGTGTCTAACTGCTTAATTCTAAATCAGGTTTTCATTAAATATACTGAGAATATATTTGGTTTTTAAGCAAATATGTATTTCTCTGAACTCAATGAAAGCATTTATTAACGTTTGATTATATTAATTTTATGCTCCTAACAAGAATTATAGAACTTTTATACTAGAAGGGCTCTGAAAGATTAAGTCAAATCTCTACATATCATGAATATGTTGTTTTATAAATAAAAGGATATAATTAAAATCAGTGCACTCCGAAGTGTTGACTGCAGAGATAATAATTGTGTGTCACCAACTTGAAAAGGAAATGAATAAGCATGGTTCCACTAATCATCTGCATGTAATTAGGAAATTTAAGCCAATTAAAATTAGAGTATCCAATTCAAACATTGTGATCCTGACAGCAAAACACAATGCTTGAGCTGCAACTATTAGTCTTAAGTTTTCTTTTTTGTTTGTTTTTCCAGTTTTGTTGAGATATAATTGACATATAACATTGTATTAGTTTAAGGTGTGCAGCATAATGATTTCACATCAAAATGATTACCGCAATAAGTTTAGTTAACATCCATCACCTCACATATTTACAATTATTTTTCCTTGTAATGAGAATTTTTTTTAAAAAACACTGCACTAAATGCTGTGCATTAATTATTTTCTTTCCTTCTTTTTTTTTTTTTTGAGGAAGATTGGCCCTGAGCTAACATCTGTTGCCAATCTTCCTCTTTTTTCTTTTTTCTCCCCAAAGCCCCAGTACGTAGTTGTATACCCTAGTTGTAGGTCTTTCTAGTTCTTCTACGTGGGACGCCACCTCAGCATGGCTTGATGAGCGGTGAGTAGGTCCACACCCAGGATCCGAATCGGCAAACCCCAGGCCTCGGATGTGGAACACACAAACTTAACCGCTACACCACTGGGCCAGCCCGTGTAATGAGAACATTTAAGATCCACTTACTTAGCAGCTTTCAAATATACAATACAGTATTGTTAACTATAGTCACCATACCATACCGTACATCCCCGGAACTTATTTATCTTTAACTGGAAATTTGTACCTTTTGACTATCTTCACTTATTTCCCCCAACCCCCATCCTCCACCTCTGGCGATGACCAATCTGTTCTCTGTTTCTATAAGTTCCTTTTTTTTAGATTCCACATATAAGTGAGATCATAGAGTATTTGTCTTTGTCTGGCTTACTTCACATAGCATAAGGCCTTCAAGGTTCACCCATGTTGTCACAAATGGCAGGATTTTCTTCTTTCTTATGACTGAATAATATTCCATTGTGCGTGTGTGTGTGCGTGTGTGTATATGTGTGTGTGTGATATATATATATATATCTATATATATATATATATATCACATTCTCTTTATCTATTCTTCCATCAATGGATGAATTGTTTCCATGTCTGTAAGCCTTAAGTTTTCTATTAGTAGTTACTATTATATTTGCAAAACTTTTTTTTATTTAAGAATAGTTGGTGCTTATTCACATATACTACTAAAACACAATGAACTATAATGTTTCTATGTTATTTATTATACATTAAAATTGGAAGTAGAGTGAGAAAAGGAGGAACTTATTTCTTTATATTATGTTGAGTGTGAGCTATCTTCTCTCGAAAAGAAAGTAGCAGGGAAAAGAAAACTTCAAAACTGATTTCAAATAATAAAAGAGATTTTACAGAATCTGGGTAATTTATGGATAATTCAATGTGGAAATTACCCACATAGAAACAAATAAAATCATAGAAAGTCTTATTTTACTTTCTTCGTTCCTCAAAGTGGAAATTTTCACCAAATTTTTCACCCAAAAAGTTAAAACTTTTGAAAAATATAAATACGTTTTCTGAAAAATAAAAGCATTAATAGACTATGAAACAACACTATCAAAGCTTCAGAAGAAAGATTTGACTTCAAATAGTTGCTTGTACTTTATTCTACTCATCTTTTAAATGGGCTTCAAGAGATGCTCACTAGAGAGCCTACAGCCTACTCTCCAACTCTAAGCTAGAGGTTCCAAGCATCCTCTTTTTGGATCATATCTCAGGGCTGAATAAAATAGAAACGGATCTTCAACGACTATTGTTTCTACAAAACCTATGATCAGAGGGAGAGTATCCTCAAAGAAGAGGATTCAAAATCCTAAATTTAGGGTATAAACTTAGTAATTCCAATGTAATAGAGAAGAAGGTGGCTCTAGTGGATAATACTCATAATGTTCTTTAACTATTAGTTGTCAGAGATGAATGTGAAGCATATGTGTGTGTGTGTACACTTTTTTTTAACAAAAAAATGGTACTAAGAGAAGCCATATAGCATAATATCAATAAATTAACTTGCTTCCACTGTTTGATCATGCCTTGATGATCTTAATATTTAGAACTCTGATATTAGTCACTGGAGGAGTATATGGAACCTTATATCCCTGCCCCTGTACACATACCGTTAAACCAGCCTTGCTGTGTGCCTTACTCATACCACAGAACAAAATTAATTTTGAGCTAGTACTATATAACAGTGGTTTTGAGACATGGTGTCAAGGCACACTGTTATGTCACAGCTCATTATATGTAGCAATAACTATGACTACTAATAAAAAAACTCAAGTTAATAAATAACTTGCCTCCTGTTCATATAAATTAGGACACATTCAGAGTTGTTGCTCTAATACCATCATTTTTTCTCAGTTGACTTCCTTGTAATTTCTTGCAAGAGAGACAAAGGGGTATCCAATTTCGCATAATTCTAGGGAATTCATTAAAGTGAACTCCACATATGAATAATCGTTAGTATGTATGTAACTGTGAAAGAAGAAAGATTGGTAGCTAGTGCTGTATATATCCTTCTGCATGTACATGAGCAAGACAAGAACTCATGTTCATGGAGAAAAGTGCCCAAGGACACTGAAATTTGGACTCTGGCGAATAAAGTTCATTTATTTCAATGGAGCCAATTATATATTCACAGACTTTTCTCTCCCACCTCCCTGGTCCAAGGAGAATTTTTTTTCCTTTCTAGTAGAATATAAATTCTGCATCAGTTTTTCTGGTATATAAAATGCTGTGTGACTATCTACCAGTAATTAATAGCCTTTCATCTAAGTAGGTAATATATGAAGAGTGAATTTATTGTTTATGAGTATATCAACATCGTTTAAAAACTATGTGCCGGGATACAAAGGCAACGCTGAAGTGTAAAATTGCTAATGCAGGCTCATAGCCTGGAAAATGATTTCTTTTAATAGTTTTCTTCATTTAACAGTTCTTCATTTGAAAATGTTCCTTTTCAGCTGCAGATTTTGTGGTTTGGTGCAGTGAAGGGGAAATTTATTCCTTTGACACATTTATTCTTTTAATAGTTATTCATTTGAAAAAGTTTCACTGATTGCCTATATATTTTGCAGTTTGCAGAGAGATTCATTCTTGATAGTTTTTTTAAATGTTTATTTATTTAAATAGGTTCTCACTCCATGGAACTGTTACTCAGATTTCTTTAAACTGGAGCTTCCGGGGCATTCTGGTAAAGCAGTAATGCCAATGGCAACCTGTGGATTTTCCATGGGCTCTGCAAGCCCTAAGACCACAGAAGAGAGCCCCATCACTAGAAAGGTGGAGATAATTTGCAGGACAAAATTTAGCTAACCATTAGTAGATGTCCTTAACTATAGTGTTAATTGTGATTTAGACTTTACTACCACAGCACATTTACAGGAGGACTAGTTTGGGGATGCAGTATGCGACTGTGAAAAATCCATCAAACTCTCCCACACAGATTTAAAAGTAGGGTATCAGTCGCAAACATTTTGTTTTAATATTGAATATGGCCACTCTAACTTCAAACAAACTTTGATTTGTTTATTGCGGGATTTTACCCAACCTGAGTAGGGTTATGATGTAAGGACACTTAAATTACACATCTATTTGTTGTCCTCGCTCTTGGCCCATTTTTATCCACAGTTCCAAAGACAGCACCCACCAACGTCAGTGGAAGAAGTGGAAGAAGGCATGAGTTAGTCATCGCCTGGGAGGTAAGACAGCCTTTGATCAGATGTCAGAACATGTTCATTCCTTAGAAAATAAGGCTACACGTTTAGTATCTGTATTTGAAGCAGAGACATTGAGTAATTTCTGTTTAAATGAGATTAAGAAACACTTGACATGCATTACTCAGATGAATACTGCCGACAGAAACCTTTCTCATCTTCATACCAGGCCACGGTTGACTTTCCTCCAAGTCTCAGGTTTTCCTTCCTGTCATACAGGCTGTTGCAGAATAGAGCTTGAATAATTAAAACATATCTTCCCACAAATTACTTCAGATTTTTTTTGGCTTAGTTTGATATTTTATTATTTCACTATTAAGTAGCACCTTTGACTTAATTGGAGGCTAAAACCATTGAGAAGGAAGGAATTGACCAACTGACCTCCTCTGAGTTTGTGACACAGTGCCTGGGTTATCTCATTTATCCCCTAAAACAATCCTATGAGTGGGGATAATTTTCCTTGTTTTACAAATAATGACATTGAGGCACAGTTTAAAACCTTTTCCCGATAAGCAATAGAATTGGGACTTTGATTACAAACCTTGAGTTATGTCTCCCTGACCATATGATCTCCAAAGTTTCTTCCATTAAAGGAAAGCAGTGGAGGGATAAGGTGTGTGAGAGGTATATTTATTTTCCATGAAGCTACTTTCTTTTTTTGATGTTAAATTACCTTAACATCAAGTATAGCTATGTAGCTCACAGAATTATGTTTTAGATTATGGAAACGGAATAGAAATGGAAATGTCTATCGGAAAAAACTGAACAAATCCCTAATAATCTCTAAGAACAATGATAAAAGGTACAGAAAAAAATCTTTTCCCAGTAAGAAATTTTCCATGAGCACATCTTCTCTCCTGTTATTCTGTCCACTCCCTTCTTCTTCAATAAAATGTTATGTCTTGTTTTTGATTTCTGCAGAGTTATTAACTTCCCAATACCTGACCTTCACTGAGATCAAATCTCTCTAAATGGAATTGCCTTCCCTATCAGCTTTGTATCTTAGCCAACTCGGGCTGCTATAACAAAAATACCCTAGACTGGGTGGCTTATAAACGACAGAGATTTATTTCTCACAATTCTGGAGGCTGGAAATCTAAAATCAAGGCACCGACAAATTTGGGTCTGGTGAGGGCCTGCTTCCTGCTTCACAGACGGCCGTCTTCTCGCTCTGTCCTCAAGTGCAGAGGGGTGGGAGAGCTTTCTGGGATTTCTAAGGGCACTAATCTCATTCATGAGAGCTCTGTCCTCATAACCAAATCACCTACCAAAGACCTATCTCCTAATAGCATCACATTGCAGGTTAGGATTGTGTCACAGGAACTTGGAGAGGATACAAACATCCGGTCTATAGGACTTTGATATAATAGGCTTTGTCTCCTTTCCTCCACTCAATATGCAGTTTTTCCTCAAATCAAAACTCAAAAGAAAAAACAATTAGCAAATATTTATTGGGTGTCTACTATGTGTCAAGCACTGTGCTAGGCAGTGGCTGGTAACTGCTCCATTGACTAACTAGTCAATCACAATTACTCTGTTCCACAGTTTGCAATTGATGCCCATTTAACAAATTTAAATGTAAGCAATATAGTACAAGAAGTTTCTTGAACAAATACTATACTCCAATTTTTTCATATGTTAGTAAAGCACAAAAGCAATTGACAAAAACACTAGGAGAATGGTCTTACATTAATATCTCCTAGATTTTCTGTGCAAAGGGCTCTGCAAAACATTACCAGTGATGAGATTTCCCTGACCACCAGACCATATGACAGTTTTCCCCAACATGTTAAATTCTGGTGTAGAATCCAAGGACCTTTGTTTCATATACATGACTAATTGGAGCAAATTTGTTTCACTTCAAGAGTTTTCAATACTCTTGATACTTTTCTTAAATACAAACTGATATCATTTAATTTTTAATCTATGTTTAAAGCCTCTTAAGTTCCCAAAGACTGCCAAGTTTTGATTGTGCTATGTTAGCTTCCAATGTATTGGAAATTTTAAGATTTGAGAGTCTCCTTTTCTCTAGTCATCCATAATTTTAAAAATTTAAAGAATTGGAAGAAGTGTATTTTCTTAATCAGTTATTATGCTGATAATTAATTGCATTTTTCTTCTTTAGCCAGTATCTGAAGAGTTTCAGAATGGCGAAGGCTTTGGCTACATCGTGGCTTTCAGGCCCAATGGAACACGTGGCTGGAAGGAAAAAATGGTGACATCCTCTGAGGCTTCACAATTCATTTATAGAGATGAAAGTGTCCCTCCTCTTACTCCCTTTGAAGTGAAAGTTGGCGTTTATAACAATAAAGGGGATGGACCTTTTAGTCAAATTGTGGTCATCTGTTCAGCTGAAGGAGGTCAGTTTCTTTATCCCTATTATTTTTATTCAATATTTTAATATTTTGTTTTGTTATATGAATGAGACATTACTGTACGTATATTAGAAAATACAGATATGCCAAAAAAGATAATAAAACTCACCCATAGTCCCACCACGTCTGTCAGATATATTTTTCCAATTTTTTTTCAAATAATTTTTCATTAAAAAAAAATGATCATTCCATATGTGTTGCTTTATGTTCTTCACTCCCTAACAATATATCACAGGTATCTTTCCATGATAATAATATTATTAATGCCTGTAGTGTACTCTATTCTCTGGATAGATATTTAACCAATCCTTTTTGGTTTGATATTTAGATAATTTTATATTTTAACCCAGTAAATTTAAATTTATGTGAAATAAATTTAAATGAACACTCCATTTACATGACCAATAAATATTTATTTCTAACTTCATGCACAAAACATCGTACTGTTAAACAAGTATTCGGCAGGGCTTTCTTTTGGAAGATTTTCACACGTGACATCATTAAATCCTTATGACAATTTCATGTAATAGGCATTATTAGCCCCATTGTAGAGAAAGAGAAATCAAAGTTCAGAAAAGTTAAGGAATTTGCTAGAGGTTACACAGCTTATAACTGAGAATTAAACCCAGGTCTGTCTAATCATTAAATCCTTGATTTTTTTTTGTAGCACTCTGCCTTCATATGCCTAACCTTATTTAATTCTCAATATATATTGAGAATTATAGTGGGCAATATACCCATTTTACAGATGAGTAAACTGTAAAACTGTGACTTATTCAGGGTTACAGTAAATAAGTGGTAGTGTTGAAGTGCTAAGTCAGCTTCCTACATCAAAATCCTTGGTTCTTTCAAATTTTAATACAAAAATGCAATTTTCTGAGAGAAAGCCTGATAGATCTAACTCCTAAAGTTACCTTTTCCTCTTAGTGCTTCTTCTATTCAAGCGCAGAATTTTGATTGGCCCTGCTAACAAAAACTATGCCTCACATTCCCTGAATTGGACAAATGACTTAGAAAATGTTCCACCAAAGACGAGACTCATTTGACTTTCCAAATAAGCATTGTCAATCTAAACTGACCCTTTTACTTCCTTTGTGCCCACATGTATGACTTGAATAACTGAAGAGAATTATTAATCTTTTTGGTACTGTGAGCTTCGTAGGGAGAAATAAATAATGTCATTTGAATATTGAAGGACAAAGGTAGTGTTTGATTTATCTCAGATGCAGTTTTTCAATACAAGCTGCCTTGTATTTTTATAACACAGAGCCAAATTTTGAAGCAGAAGCAGAAAATTTATCCTAGTCTAAGAATGACCAGGAAAATGAAGAATCAACTAATGAAAAGGACTCCTAGATGTTCTGATAACATACCCATGAACTTAGCATCTCAAGTTGATGATGTGTTTTCAGATATAACCAGTGTACCATATTACTTATATTAACTCTTACAACCAAATATGAGGTAAGAATCTCAAGCCTCAATCTACTTTTCAGGAAACTAAGGCTCAGAGGTTAAGTAACATGCTTAAATTCACATCAACAAGTGCCAGAGTTCTAAGTAACTATAGTAAGTGACAGAGCTGGGATTTGAACCCAGGTCTATATGACTACAAAGTTCGTGCTTTTAACCTCTATCGTATACTGTCTCACCAGGAATGTATATAATAATAATATTTTGTTATTGTATTACATTATTGTATATAATAATAATAATATTTTGTATTATTTATTACTCCAAAAATCTATTTTGAAGTATATGTTTTATTCAGGAAGTGCATATTCTTGTTTCTTTAAAATTTCTTCAACCTAATTATCAAGCACATAGCCCCAAAGGTCACATGAGATGAATTGGAGAGGTTCGTGAACATGCTTTGTATGGTAACACCAAGGCTGCCTTTAAGAAATCCAGATTTGCATGTTCCTTGTCGACCTTTGCTTTGAAATTAAATTATAGCAGCCACCATGAGTTGTTTATACTGTGTTTCCTTAAACTTGAAATGGCTTGCCTTTAGAGATTTCTCTTTCAAGCTAGATAGGAAATATGCATATTTTCTTTCAAAGACACTGAAGTTGTTGCTACAACGTATTTCCTATAACACTTCATTTATTTTGGTAGACTGAAATATGAAAGATACCAAGAAAATTAAATCTGGACAGAATCTGCCTTTGTTCTGATGACAAAATGCAAACATATATTTGGCATTTGCTCACTAATTAAATTTACTAATTTGGAGCTTTGTGTGTAAATACGAGTAAAGTTTAGCATCATTAAATTGTGTCAGCCAGGAAAGGCCGGACCATGCAAATGAAGAGCATTTGCCTGGAGTGAGCAGAGCATGAGTTCCAATCTGCTCACAATAACTGAAAGATCTTGGGCAGTTTATTCACCTCTCTGAGGCTTACCTTCTTCCACTTTAAAAATGAAAGTCCAGAACTTGAGCATCTCTGGAAGCCATTAAAAACCTAAAACTGAAACTTTGTCAATTTATTCTATATTCTAAAATAGTCTTTTAAATTTTAGTTGTCCCAGAATAGGCAGTAATAATAGATCAACTTTTGCTATCTAATAAAAAGAGGGAAATCAACATCCCTTTTTAGTCACTTGGCAAATTGCTTTTCTTGAAAAGCAGTGAACATTTTCAAGATTGAATCATTTTAAACAAAGAGTCAAGGCTTGTAATAAGCTGATAAAATAATATATTGTACTCATGTCAGTGCAGGTTCCTCTCTTCTTTGCCTGTGGACATTTGTGCAGATTCACAGTGTGCCTTTATCATCAGACTCTTGCCCAAAGCCCAACTCATCTGATTGAGACTGCATTTCTCAGTAAGACAAATTCTGTTTCTTTGTTCTTCCATTAACCTAGCCCACCTGTTTATTGTCTCAAAATCTCTCTGTATTCTTAGATAAAATAAAGAACAAGAGGAGTGGGACTGGATTTCTATCTTTATTTATGGGCACAGTTATTCCTCTTCATATCGAGAATACTAGCTACAAACCTAGAGTACCATGGAGAAGCCAGGTTTTCACAGCTGACCCCAAGCCATGAAGAAAAATGTGCCAGATGCTATATCAAATGCAGCCACCAGAATTCACATTTGGAGGGAAGCACAGAACACAAAGACTTCAAGGCGCATCTTCCAGTACTATTTCTCAACCCATTTGCCACTGGCACATCAATGATGGTGACATTCGCATCCACAGCACATTTCCACAAGTGCTTGTGTGCATTCCCCATACCCTTCATCCTTTTCTTTTCCTCTCAAGAAAGCCTATTGAAATGTGAGTGAGAATTACATTATTGTAGGGAAAACCTTGAATGTGATCTGTTATTAAAAGAATTCATCATTTACAAATATTGATACTTAGTAAATCGCTTGGGAAATGACCTTGACTTTTGCGACTCTGAGGTTGACTGTTGCCCTCGAGTACTGTCAGAAAAACTCCAAATGGTTTTTCTGCCAACACCCTTGAGCCTTTGAAACCTTTCAAGGCTTCCACAGCAGAAGTGACCCTGAAATGGCTCTGTCAGTGCCAGGCAGCATCTGACGTAAGCGTGGAAGGAGAGATATTTGCCTGCCAGTACTTCCATACACCTTGTGCATATATCAATTATCTATACCCTTTGAACCAAGCAAGAATTATGTTCATTCTAACCCTGACTGACTTCAGGTCTCTAGGATATGGTATAATCCTATACAACACCCTCGTTTTGGAAACAATTCTAATTTTTTTAAAGAATAGCAAATTTCCAACATAAGTGATTTTAAAGCCCATGGTAGAAGTGATAAAAAGTGATTTTTTTTCAAGATGAAAGATCAAATCAGCTTTCATTTCCATCTGCCTAGAGCTACTTATTAGTGAAACTTATATCCATTTTCCACTTAGTTCTTGTTACTATAGCTTTGGAAAGAGCAAGAATCTGAGCATTCAATTACATCTAGTAGAAAAATAGAGGGAAATTCAATATAGCTTTATTATAGGTTGAAAGATTTGTTTACTTGCAATGCACTTTAGTCTTTTCCAGTTTTTTTGGCTTTTGCCTTGTATGTAAAAATGGTGCTGCTTTTATTTTTATTAAAACCAAAAAGCCTCTCCTCATTTGCAGAAAATGATATGCAATTATCCCCTTGCAAATGGAGCTACCACAGTTTAAATTAAAACCCGACATTCACGAGGTGTTATTCTCCAGATCAGTCCTTCGCTGCAACTGAGCTCAGTGGGATTTATGTGAACTTGAAAATTAATAAATTGGCATATTAGTTGTAAAATACAAGGAATAATTTCCTGTCTTTGCCGGATGATCCATTTGGATTAGTGCCTGTAAAAGTTCAACTACAGCTGTCTTCACTGAATTTTTAAATAATGAAACCATAACCCTTCTCCCAAAGAGTTTATTAAACTCTCCTTTGATTAATGCTATTGCTCACCCCACCTGGGAAGTCAGATGTATAATCAATATTAGAAGCACATCCCCCCGTATTACTTGGAAAACTCCAGCTGCTGGGTCACTTAATACAAATGTATCATCTAAATTCATGAACATGGTAATGCTGTTCAAAATTTTTAATCTAACAGAAACTGAAATCTATCAATCAGTCTGTCCACTTCAAATGCCAAGATTGGAGTGAAAGAGTTAGCCATGGTCTAATTAATATCATCATGAGTAAAAGAAAAAAGAGATCTTTTTAAGTCTTTGAGTCTATTAGACATAACGCTTGTACAATCTCAGAAATGAGTCCCTGAATTTTCATCAAATTACCTGAGTGTAATAGACAGAAGTGAGAGTGGCAGGAAACATCCTGTGATTTATGGATCAGGAGAGTTTCAGAGATGCCTGAATATGACAGGATCTATGAGGAGCAGTGCAGCTATGGTTCAAAACTATCAAAAATTCCATGACACAGGAATAAAAGGAGTTGATAGTAAGCCTGTGGTGGGGTTAAATAGGAGATGATGGGGGTCTAGGTGATTTGGGGCAAGACTTAGAGTAGAGAGCCCAAGTGAAGATTCCAATGTCAATATTCTTGAGAAAAGTTAAGTATGGTGGGGCAAGGAGAAGGGAGAGCAAAAACAAAGGGAACAGCACCAGGTCTGTAAAGACAGATACGTGCACAGAAGCACAATTCCATGGTGGTTAGGACCTGACTGCCTTGTTCAAATCTTCTCTCCAACCTCCAGCAGCTGTGTGACCTTGGGTAAGTTGCTTAACGTCTCTGCTCCTCGATTTCTTCATCAGGAAAATGGTGATAGTGATAGCAGGGTTGTTAGAAAGATTAATTAATACATATAAAGAATTTTGATTAGGGCTTGGCACATAGCAAATTCTCAATAAACAGTAATTATTACCTTTGGTTGTACCCCTCATCTATTTTGGGTTTTTTTGTTTGTTTGTTTCTTTGTTTTTAATCTTATTCTTTCTCTCCCTCTGTCAGTTATTTGGAGGTAAGTGAGCAGCAAGAGAATGAACTATATATGTTCCTTGTAAAATCTCTTGTGTGCCCCCAAACTAAGAGATGGAGAATGAGCCAGTGGTTGGTGCTAATTTAAAAACAACACAGGAAAGAGCACTTGAGACCTGAGTTCTAGTTGGGGCTCTTTCAGAGCCAGAAGCAGTTTGGATAAATCAACTTTTACATATGTCACTTTTTTCATCTGCAAAATGAGGGCATGGATTTAAAACACAGGTCTATAACTCAAAAGCCTATACAGGTCAGGTAAGAAATATAAACAAGTGAAGTAGTTCCAGTGTGAGACAATAGGGAGTGGTAGGGACTCTGGCAAACTGAAATGCCTATGCTCTGACTAATGGGGCCAAGGGCTAATTCTCATCTACCAACACCGAAGAATTCAGAGTTGGTATAACTGTTCTTTTTCCAAGAGAAATTGGAAATTCTTATTTTTATATGAAATGTTGGAATAAATTAATATATTATGTGGGCAAACAAAACATGGCTGAAGACCCACTGGCCATTCATTTGTGACCTTTGAACCAAATGACTTTCTAAAATTCTTTCTAGTTGTGACCTTCCATCACTCAGTTACAATGGGATGTCCAAATAGAACAACTAGTTCCAATCCAAACCAGACATTCTGTGATCCAGTTGGGTACTCTTGCCTGCAGACAAACTTTTTGATCCACATGAAAATGTTCACTCGGCTATAAACAGTACCTACTGAAACTTCTGGAAATAAACTGATGGAGGTCACTTTTTTTACATGCTGAAATTTTCAGTTCAGGTCAGCATGGGTCTATTTCTGATACTATTTACATCCAGAAGGTGAAACCAATAAAAAAATGACTCTTCAGTTCTTGTTTGATTCGTTTACCTTTCTTCAGTTAGATGCCACTATAATGTGCAGCCTCCAAGAGCGCAACTCTGAGACGTCAGCTTGGGTCTGACCTTGATTTAAAATCCTCAGAGCTTTTAAATAGAAATTAGGGTGCTTGTTTAGGAAGCAGATTTCTGAATACTTTTCTGTCTTTTTTTAACTTTCTTATTTCTATTTCAGATGTATTTAAACTTGTGTAGTGCTACAGAAAGCTGATAGAGAAATCATTTCTTTCTCTAGAGATAAAAAGAGAGAAAAAGGCTGCCATCCAACCACATATTTTGTGTTTCTGAAATTATTTATACCCCTGCAATCTTCTTTGACAAAGATGTAATTGCTTCAATAATATAAAAGCTGAAAGAAGGCATTTGGCACACAATTTGGCACACACAAATCTCTGGAATGCATTCATTTAAAAGAAAAGCAGAAGTGCTCCCAAATAGCAAATGATACTCAAAGCGTGGCTCCCATTGAAATAAATCATATCCTAAATCCTGGAGACCAGGTTGCACACACCTGAAGAATATCAGTATTTCCTTTCATTTACTTGCAAAATCAAGAATTTTAACTCCTATTAAATAGCAATGAAAAAAATTTTTTTGTTGCAGGTCTGCTGATCAGAATTCCAGAATGAAATAGAAGTTTTTCCCAGAATTTTTTTTTGATTGGGTAGATGCACAAATAATGAGTTGGAAAGTGAGGTGAGGGAAACCACTGAGCAAAAGAAAATAATAAAACATATTCAAAGGGTGGCAGAATGAGAAATTACGATTTACACTATGGCAGGAATTAATATCAGCTTCTGTGTAAAGATTAATGTGAATTTGCCAAGGCACTTTGAGTTAACACAATTATAGCATGTGATTTTAATGAAAGCTTTACCAAAAGAAAATCATTGCTCAGTGCAAAAATGCACCTTTGAAAAAGTCTTTTGTGGGCTTCTTTACAGCAACAAGGGTAGATGTTTTAGACTGATATTTTTCAATTAATAATATACAAAGGCTTTCCAGATAGATATGTGACCACCTTTCATTAGAAAAGGAAAGATCTCAGAAAATAGTTATGATTCCTTTAATATCCCTAATATTAACTTTCAAAAATCTTATTTAGAACTCTGTCTTTGCCATACTGTTCCCTGAATCTAAAAAAACATTTTCAACAGATTAATCTGAACTCTTACCAGTCAGTGATGAGGGGTTAGTATCAAAGTCTCTACAATGTTTATGGGGTAGGGATTTTTTAAATCGACTTTGTACAGAAATGTTTGAACTAATATATGGCCTTTATTCTGCCATTTCATTTAACGTGTGTTTGTGACACAGTATTTATGATTCAGCAATGTCAAAGCTGGAAATATTTTGTTCCTCACACAGAGTGCAACCTCAAATAAAGTGCACCTCTTGATGGATGCCAGGCAGACATGGTGTATTTGAAAAAATAGTAAGAAAGGTCACTGAGCATAGGAACAAATGAAAAGGTGGCTTTGAGCAATAGCACCAAGACCTTCCGGGACTTTCCTTTTCGGTCCATACCTGTCTTAAAAGTCAACACATACCTTTTAAATATCATGATTCATAACATATTCCTTATACAATCATGGAAATGTAGCTTTGTGCTTGGAACAAAAAAAAAAAAGCTAATGGAATTTAGACTCTATTTGTGCCTGCACAGGATAAAAACATAAAACAAAATAATAATAATAAGTGATATTTGGTGAATGAATGCCAAGTGCCAAGCACTGTGCTAAATATTTGATATGTATTATTCCAATTAAAACTAATCTTAAAAATCTATGAGATAAGTACTCTTATTATGCCCATATTACACACCAGGGAACTGGGGTTTAGGAAGGGGTGAAGCAATTTGCCTAAAGGTAAATAAGCAAATAAATTTTTTGAAGGCAGAAAACAATGGCAGCAACAAAAAAAGCCAAGACTGATTCCCTAGTCCATTCTGTTGATCATTGTGCTAGACTGGAAGACAATTTAAGTCAGACAACTTAACTTCTCCAGAAACATCCCAGTTAATCCAAGGATAAAGATCTTCTTTGCTTGTCTTGCTATATTTGTCATTTTTCATTGGTAAGGTATTGATGAGACTTGACTCAAATATAGAAATCCGAAAGATCATCTTTTGATATTGTTGTGTTTTTCATAGCTACCACAGTGCTTCATTTCAAAAATAAGGTAGAAGGAAATAACACCTGACATATTCAGGTGCAATGCTTTGATAGACATAACTTGTTACCATTGCAGTTTATTATTTCCATTTTCCTTCATACAGAACCCAGTGCTGCTCCCACAGATGTCAAGGCTACAAGTATGTCTGTGTCAGAGATTCTTGTTGCATGGAAACATATTAAAGAGAGTCTAGGAAGACCACAGGGATTTGAGGTATGAACAGAATTATTGAAAATAAGCCTTGTTATTTCTGCTGGCATTGCATTCTCCTAAAGAGATGGTTTGGTGACATTTCAACAGAATTATATTCCTTTGAAATTTTGCTGTATAGCAAAGACAGTAAGAAATATACTATTTTACTGACATGTATTATGTTGCTCATTAGCTGGCTTATTTTTCAGTATGGTAGTTTCCATAGCACCATGCAAAGATTTGTTAAAAAGAGATGAAAATGGCCCTTTAGATAAAAATCAGAAGGTATAGGTAGATATTTACTGGTATCCAATTTATTGGTGGTTAAAAATGTTTTTGTGTATTTCCCTCTAATAATTTAATGTATAAAATAGGTTTTCCTACTATATTATATTGGCAGATCTTACCTCCTAAATGAACTTCTCAAATTTGCTTAGAACTTAGTAATTTGTACCTATTTACTCAAATGAATTTTTTGTCCCTTAAATTTTGCTATTTTTAAACACAGTTATGCCAGCCTTATAAAAGTGAACATTTTATAACAATTCATTGACTTCAATGAAATTTTAGCCTCCACATGGACAAGAGGATTGTAGACAGTCTGTGAACTTGAATATTCCACAAAAACAAGATCCCTAATTCTCATACAGCTCTTGTTCTTGCCTTTGCCAGTTAGGGATAGGAATTAGGGGAGTAAGTTATAAAAGACAAAAAAGAACTAACATACAACCCAAGATCTTAGTTGCCTTTAAACTTTGTAATTCTTACTTCCCTCTGTTTCAACTCTCACAAAGAAAAATATCATCCTGATTTTTGAACAATGATCGAGTATAGGATTTGTACCCAACATGGTTTCTAAGCTAAACACACATTTCTTTATTCTATTTGAGTTTTCCAATAATGGCTGAGAACTATTTGATTAATATACAGCTAGCATTAGATAATGATAACTGTAATAAAGAGTTTATACAATCTTTCTAAGAGTTATAGCAAGGACCATTTATAGAAAACCACTACCTATACAATATAATGAATTTATTTATACAATCTTGCTTCAATTTATTATTTGGTGATAATTCAGTATGTGTCATCATGATTGCATGTTTATTTTATTAAAATCTCTTTTTATCCGTATCCATGCTGCAGGGACCATGTCTGTCCGCCAACAAATCCTGGGACTGGTAGTGCTCGGCCCATGATAGCTACAATGAATATTTGGTGAATGAACAAATAGCTGTGCTTCACAATCAGCCCCTTTTAATATCACTGTAGAAGATACTAAGGTGGCCTGCCCAGCTTCCCTTCACTGGGCCAGTGCACCATCCCCCAGCTGCCATGAGTGTTGGCTTCTAATGGTTCTCGGCTTCTCCTCTGGAGAATTGCCCTCCTCTGAGGGGTGCTGCCTTATCTGAAAAGTTACCTCCCCACAAGAATCACCTAAGTACAGATCCACCTGGACCTCTGAAGTAGAACATCTGGTGTTCATACTTGTAGAAAGCCACAAAGTGTATTCTGGTGTACAGAAAAATGAGGACCCAGGCTCTTACATCTCAAGTGCTGCTCCTCTCACACAGCCAGTCACCCTCAACCTTTTTTCTGCCTACCCTAAAGCATGGCATTCACATTCCCACCATGATTCACCTGTAATAACAGCTTTCTATGAGGTCCTGCAGAGATCACATAAGATTTAGATTTGTGCACAATTCTTCTCTTCCTAAATATAAATCACTTATTCATTCATTCAACAAATATTTATTGAAGGCCTACTAAGTATCAGACACTGAGCTAGATGATAGGGATAAAGCAATGAGCAAAACAAAGTTCCTATCCTCGCGGAGCTTATATTGTAGTAGGGAAGGCAAACAATAAACAAGCTAACAAATAAGTGGGTGAAATAATTTAAATTGATGATAAATCCTCTGTAGAAAAATAAAACTAGACCAGAAGATAGAGAGTGAGGGAGTCTGCTATTTATAGAGGTTTGAGAAATCACCCTTTCTGAGGTTGTGACGTTTGAGTAAAAACATGACCGAATGAGAGAGAGAGAGAGGCAGAGAGAACAGCAAACTCAAAGGCTCTGAAGTAAGAGCATGTGGCCTTCTTCAAAGAACAGAAAGGGAGCAATTTGGGCCAGATAGCAGTGAACAGAGAGGGTAGTGGCAGGTTGATGAAAAGATCGCCAGGACAAGGACAAGGTTATATGGGGTCTTGTGAACTATGGAAAGGAATTTGGATTTTATCTTAAGTATAAGGAGAAGACCGTAAAGGATTTTGAACATGGAGAATCAAATAAGGATCTAACTTACTTATATTTTAAAAGCCTCTCTTGTTCTAAAGGGTAGAGTATAGACTCTAGAGAGGACCTCAGGGAGAACAGTGGAGAGGCACTTATTCCAACCGAGGTGATAATGAAGTTGCTTTTGACTAGAGCAGTTGCAGCAGAGTTGATGAGAAGTGGGTCTTTTAAGATATATTTTGAATGGAAGGATGACAGGATTTGATAATGAATTGGATGTGGACTATGAAAAAGAGAGGAGTCAAAGATATTACAGAGCTTTTTGACCCAAGAAACTGGGTGAATGGTATTGTCATTCAGAAGACGAGAAACTCAGAGAAGAGTAGGTTTTAGAGAAAAAAATCAAGGATTCTGGTTTAGATGTGTCAAATTTTGTAAGCCTTTTTATTTCCAAAAACAGTCGTCAAGTAGGTCTTGTGTTAAGACAAAGGTTAGAGATGGAGCTATAACTCTGAGGAATCATCAGCATATAATGGTTTCTGGCTGAGATCACTGAGTGTTGATAAAGTAGATGTCTGAGAATTGAGCCCTATAGTGCCTTACCATTTGGAACTCAAGAAAGGAAGAGCATCTGGCCAAAGAAACTAAGGGAGACACTGAAGAGATTCAGAAGCCAAGAGAAGAATTTAAGGTTGAGAGTTTTGAGGCCGGCCCAGAGGCATAGTGGTTAAGTTTGCGCTTTCTGCTTCAGCGGCCCGGAGTTTGCAGGTTCAGATCCCAGGCGCGGACCTACACACCACTTATCAAGCCATGCTGTGGCAGACATCTCGTATAAAGTAGAGGAAGATGGGCACGGATGTTAGCCCAGGGCCAATCTTCCTCAGCAAAAAGAGGAGGATTGGCAACAGATGTTAGCTCAAGGCTCATCTTCCTCACTAAGGAAAAAAAAGAAGATGGAGTGTTTTACTGAGTCAAATGTTGCTAAGAAATTCAGAAAGATGGGGCCTGAGATTGCCCAATGGATATGGCAATGCAGAGACCCTAGTGACCTTGGTGAGAGGGGTTTTATGGAATGCTGGTGATCAAGCCTTGACTGGAGATCAAGATCAAGATCACTCAAGAGTGTCAGAGCACAATATTTTTGCTAAATCTAATTCATTAAAAATGACAGCTTATCACAAGCTAAGATAGAATATCCTTAGGGATAGAACATTAACAGAAATAAATCAAATTCTGGAACAATCATCACAATGACCACATATTTTAATTAAAATAAATCAACACAAATTCCACTACTGTTTTTACACATAGAAACAGGACAGAATCCACGGACAAAGTAGCATTTATACTATTTTATAGTATTTTATAGTGTTTTCTAAGTTGTAGTTTAAAAAATATGGCATCTTGTTACCCAAAAAAATCAATATCTTATTAATGGGGAAATTAAATGTATGCCTTTTTGTTGTTGTTGTTGTTGTTGTTGCAAGGAAGATCAGCCCTGAGCTAACGTCCATGCCAATCCTCCTCTTTTTGCTGAGGAAGACCGGCCCTGAGCTAATGTCTATTGCCAATCCTCCTCCCTTTTTTTTTCCCCCGTTTTTCTCCCCAAAGCCCCGTTTTTCTCCCCGTTGCATATCATAGTTGCACATCCTTCTAGTTGCTGTATGTGGGATGCCGCCTCAGCATGGCCGGACAAGTGGTGCATCGGTGCGCGCCTGGGATCCGAACCCCGGCCGCCAGTAGTGGAGCGTGTGCACTTAACCGCTAAGCCACGAGGCTGGCCCCAAATGTATGCTTCTTATAATCAGAAAATAATTAAAACTTTGTATAATTCAGTGGTCAAATATGATATTAACTGTTATTTTAAGTAAAATATAGTCGCAAAGGCTATTTTTAATTTATACTATCTCATAACTGGATACTTGCAGGTAGATTTAAAAATAAATATGATGTAAGTAAAGTGTATCAGCATCTCTCCTACCCTCTCTTTCCTGCACTCTTCATCTTTAAGGAGAGCTCTGCCTCTGCCCTTCACCTTACCCATCCTGGAACTTACTTCTCTTCTCTTTACCTTTTTTTATTTCTTCTTTTTTTCACTTAGTAAAATATCTCTCCAAAATATACTTGAATATTACTAAAATGTAGTACAGCTTAATATTTCATCTCGTCACTATCTCCCTCTTCAATTCTATCCTAACCAAAATCCTAGCTGTATTTACTAATGGTAGAATTCTGAGCATGGTGACAATAAAAAAGTATTTTTTTGTCACTGAAGCCAATGAGATTGGTTTCAAATTTTGTGTATTTATCATATTGGTCCTATGAGTCATTTTTCTAGGCATAATTTTAGCTTTACTTGCAATGTCTGAAAGAGCTAGTTACTATAGTCACTATGTGCCATTTTTAAAATAGCAAAAACAGTGTTTTTGACTACCTCTCTTGTTTTTCCTGAATTGAAATGTGTGAATAAGATAGAAAAAGTTCTGCTTTTATGAATGTTGCATCCTAATAAGGGAAGACAAATAAAAAAATAAACAAGCAAACAAGTGAGTAGAATAAACTTAGATAACAATTCATATGAAAGTTCAAAGGTGGAACAAACCTGTTTCCTTAACAGAAGGAAGTCGAGCCACTGGACCTTAGTGAGCAGTGGTGTGAGTGGAATTAAAAGTAATCAGAGAGTTAGGTGGGCAGAGACAAGATTATGTTGGGATATATAGATTATAGAAAGAGTTTGTATTTTATTTCAAAAACAGTGGAGAGCCAGTGGGGCAATTTAAGGAGG